ATAATACCCCGACTGTTGATAAAATTGACATAACACTGGGTTTTGCAATTTTCCACCGGAGACAATTTCAGCTTTGATTTGAATCTGGTCGACATAAAGAGGCGGACTTATGTTTATCTCTACCTCGCGCAAAGAAGTTTGGAAAATGAAATAAAGAGATAATTGACCGTTATATCAGGTACGACACACCATAGGTCTGAACATACCACATGTAATTAGGTAAGACACACCATAGGTCTGAACATACCACAGGTAATTAGGTAAGACACATCATAGGTCTGAACATACCACATGTAATTAGGTAAGACACATCATAGGTCTGAACATAACACAGGTAATTAGGTAAGACATACCATAGGTCTGAACATACCACAGGTAATTAGGTAAGACACTCCATAGTTCTGAACATACCACAGGTAATTAGGTAAGACACACCATAGGTCTGAACATACCACAGGTAATTAGGTAAGACACTCCATAGTTCTGAATATACCACAGGTAATTAGGTAAGACACACCATAGGTCTGAACATAACACAGGTAATTAGGTAAGACACATCATAGGTCTGAACATACCACAGGTAATTAGGTAAGACACATCATAGGTCTGAACATACCACAGGTAATTAGGTAAGACACACCATAGTTCTGAACATACCACAGGTAATTAGGTAAGACACACCATAGTTCTGAACATACCACAGGTAATTAGATAAGACACACCCTAGGTCATAGTTCTGAACATACCACAGGTAATTAGGTAAGACACATCATAGGTCTGAACATACCACAGGTAATTAGGTAAGACACACCATAGTTCTGAACATACCACAGGTAATTAGGTAAGACACACCCTAGGTCCGAACATAACACAGGTAATTAGGTAAGACACATCATAGGTCTGAACATACCACAGGTAATTAGGTAAGACACATCATAGGTCTGAACATACCACAGGTAATTAGGTAAGACACACCATAGCTATATATACACCGTGTATATATTTAGATACGGTCGTGTGTTTTATCGAAGTCTCGGGAAACGGTACAAATAAGCAATACACGCTCGTCTTATAACATAATGTTCACTGGACCCTGGACAAAGTCACTGGGAACAATGACAAACAGTTAACAAGGGGAATTCAACAAGTACAATGTTAACAGAGATCTCTATTTAAAACATATATTCAATATATATTGAATATGAAATAAATAAATAATTGAGGAATAAATAAATAAATTAATTAATAAAAAAGTAAATAAATAGATAAATAAATACGTAAATAAATAAAGGGTATTATCAAGATACCCCTTCGTGACCCCCTTGATTAAATGGTCCATTATTTAAATGCTAATTAGGTTCATCTAGTCTAGTCTGGCGTATTGTATTGACACATTTGAAACGACATAAGGGTATTTTCTAACACAATAACACAGGTATTGAATATCTGTCTTTAGCTACGAGTGAGCGCATCAGTGGTCAGCGGATCGCAGGCGCTTGTGTACTAGATACACCAAAAGAGCTCAACCTTATACTCTGTCAAGAAGTAGAAAACCGCAGTATAAAGTTTAGAAAAAAATATGCTTATTGATTTAAAAGAAATAAAAATGTTCATATTTATTTTAAAATATTCTATCAAATTTGTGAAATTTATTTTTTTATGTATAATTTAATTGATCATTCTGCTTAAAGTAGAATTTAAATACAATTGTCTACTTCTTCGACAACAAACACGTTTTCCATGATATCGTTGAATGTCTAAAAAATGAGATGTTAATAAATGATATTCCTTTGTTTCCGTTTTAAGACAATGTTTTCGATTTGGTCTTCAACAAATTTAGAATTCGCCCTTATTATGAATATTTAAGTAATCCAGTACACAGGTACCTGTGCTAAGATACACTTAAACGCCATATTGAAATACTGGATTGTCTTACAACTCTCACGGAAATCTTATTACCAGTTCGAGACAAACGAAAGACATACAAGGAAACAAGTTCCTTTCTTTTTATCTGTGACGTCAGAGAGGACATCACGTGCCCAATGAACAGCCAAACATTTTCCTGATTACGATGTTTACAGAGAGCCAAAGTCAGAACACGACAGGAGTCAATATTTGTGTTAGGAGCTCTCCATGATGAAAAGGTAAGAATGCAAACGACTGTAATAAAACATATGGTAAGGTTTTCCGATATTTCTCCCTATATCAGTTATTTATTGTTATTAACACATATACCGCCAACTACATATATGGTATTTTGCATTTGAGGTGCATGTGTTTACATAAAATTGTTAATACTGTTTTAAACATAAAATACCCATTAGTACACTACATTCCTGTATAAGGACATAAAATACCCAACATTACACTACATTTCTGTATAAGGACATAAAATACCCAACAGTTCAATACATTTCTGTATAAGGACATAGAATACCCAACAGTACACTACATTTCTGTATAAGGACATACCATACCCAACAGTTCAATACATTTCTGTATAAGGACATAAAATACCCAACATTGCACTACATTTCTGTATAAGGACATAAAATACCCAACAGTTCAATACATTTCTGTATAAGGACATACCATACCCAACATTACACTACAGTTCTGTATAAGGACAGAAAACACCCAACCGTGCACTACATTTCTGTATAAGGACATACCATACCCAACATTACACTACAGTTCTGTATAAGGACAGAAAACACCCAACCGTGCACTACATTTCTGTATAACGATATAAAATACCCAACATAACACTGCATTTGTGTATAAGGACATAAAATACCCAACATTACACTACATTTCTGTATAAGGACATAACATATCCAATAGTTCACTACATTTCTTTATAAGGACATAAAAACACTCAACATTACACTACATTTCTGTATAAGGACATAGAATACCCAACATTGCACTACATTTCTGTATAAGGACATAAAATACCCAACAGTTCAATACATTTCTGTATAAGGACATAAAATACCCAATAGTTCACTACATTTCTGTATAAGGACATAAAAAACACTCAAAATTACACTACAATTCTGTATAAGGACATAGAATACCCAACAGTACACTACATTTCTGTATAAGGACATAAAATACCCAATAGTACACTACATTTCTGTATAAGGACATAAAATACCCAACATTACACTACATTTCTGTATAAGGACATACTCAACATTACACTACATTTCTGTATAAGAACATAGAATACCAAACAGTACACTACATTTCTGTATAAGGACATACCATACCCAACAGTTCAATACATTTCTGTATAAGGACATAAAATGCCCAACATTGCACTACATTTCTGTATAAGGACATACCATACCCAACAGTTCAATACATTTCTGTATAAGGACATACCATACCCAACATTACACTACAGTTCTGTATAAGGACAGAAAAAAACACTCAACATTACACTACATTTCTGTATAAGGACATAGAATACCCAACAGTACACTACATTTCTGTATAAGGACATAACATACCCAATAGTACACTACATTTCTGTATAAGGACATAACATACTCAATAGTTCACTACATTTGTGTATAATGACATGAAATACCCAACATTACACTACATTTCTGTATAAGGACATAAAATACCCAACATTACACTTTATTTCTGTATAAGGACATAATATATCCAATAGTTCACTACATTTCTGTATAAGGACATAAAAAACACTCAACATTACACTACATTTCTGTATAAGGACATAAAAAACACTCAACATTACACTACATTTCTGTATAAGGACATAAAAAACACTCAACATTACACTACATTTCTATATAAGGACATAAAAACTCTCAATATTACACTACATTTCCGTATAAGGACATAAAAAACACTCAACATTACACTACATTTCTGTATAAGGACATAGAATACCCAATAGTTCACTACATTTCTGTATAAGGACATAAAATAAGAAAATAACAGTAAGATTTGTTTTCCTGGTTGATGAATTGATATCAATTGATTGAATTATAATAAATTTATTACTATATTTTTATATACCAAATTAAAATCAGCTTCACACTTTCCCACTCGCAAAGACTTGAGACCTCTGATAACAATATTGGGCTTTCCTACCAAACATTCATCTATAAAAGACCCTTCTTAGTCTGGAACAATACCATCCCCTGAAGCTGAAGGAATCTCACAATTAATTTTTCTATTTCAATTTTATCACACCTCATCAGGTCTTTCTATTCATTAATATTGACGCTTGACAGCACTCTGGATACATAGGTACGGTCGACCTCCTGCGACGAAATTCATGCGAAACCCAGGTCACCATGACCCGCTAGTCTTGAAAATTAAATCTACCCACAGGAAGTCAAATCTCAGCATGGACATAGTTTTGTAACCACCCATCCCTGCTCCACCCTCCCATGTGTCTGCTATACGTTTCATTCGTTAGTATGTTTTAAAACCTCAATGATTAATACTGTTCCCTCACTTATCTATTGTTTACTTCTGTAGATGAACATATTATTTGCAGAGTAAAGCTTTTTTCATCACGGCTCGTCTATTCAAAGGGTACATCCCTTGGCAAATCAGCAAAAGGGTCGATTTAGAATATAACGCATTCTTGATAAAATAAAAATTTAAAAAGGAAAATTCAAAATTTCAATCTGATTTTTGTGAAAATTAGTTCGACATTTGACAAATGTTCCATATTTTTAGAATGGCAAAGACTTCAATAAGAAATAAGATAAATTACCTGCGATATACTTTGAAATGTTTTTTTTTTCAATGTTTCAGGAAATATGATTGCAACAAACGAAATAAACAATAACGACATAGGTGTACTTTGTACATCAACTAAGTCAGCAAGCGATTTTACTATATGGCAACAATGTTAACGTTTTGTTACAAGTAATTGGGAGAGTTCAACCGTCTGTTTGACCATAATAGTTCCTTTTCCGGTGAGTCATTTTTTGTCTATTTCAACCATCATGCCGAAGAAGAACACACAACCCGAGGCCACGATTAGCAGGAAATGCCCGAGTCACCCTCAGAATGACGTAATGTTCGCGTGTAAAAATTGTATGGAAGATCTGGTGTGCTCACATTGTGTAGCGACAACACATAACGGGCACTACTTTGTTGAGTTGAGTGATTTTGTGCTGCAGAAAAAAGATGACATCGACCAATTTCTCCGAGAATCTGAACGAGATTTGCCGCTGGTGAAAAATAAGATTGCAGCGACGGAGAAAAATTTGAATGGAAACGATGGCTACTTCAAAGACATTGTGAATGATATCCAGCGACAAGCGACGGAGCTGAAGGCAGAAATAGACAAGATCAGCGACAATTATATCTTACTTTGCGAACAAATGGAAGAAGAAAATAAAGAAAATCTCCGGAAATTCAAGCAAGAACTAGAATTTATATATAGCGGTATGGCCACGCTCGTGAAGACGTGCCGTGACGCGATCGCGTCAGATGACGATATGGAGATCATATACGCGGAAAGAAAGATACCTGAGGATCGTGAAATCCCGAGTGATTTTCCGTTAAAGGCCGCCATTTTCCGCCCTGGGAATTCCGGTACAGAACAGAAGATCCGCGTCTTTGGAACGCTCGCAATTGAAGGTAGCCAGAGTTTGAGCGAGCGGTCCGCGATTTCCTCGACGCCTGAAAATCTGGAGGTGATTTCGGAGTTCCAGCACAATAAAAGAATCCATTCCATGTGTCCAGTAGAAGAGAATGTCTGGTTGCTGGAACGACTTAGTCAAGAGATTGCTCTCGTCAATCTTAGCGGAGCAGTCCAACGCACGATTACAAGCGAGTCCCGAGTTTTTGACATTGCAGTCTCCAAAACAACTTCTGACTTGTGGCTTGCGTGCGAGGACCGGACGATTCGCGAAGTACATACGTCGACCATTCCTGTCATCAGATTCCGGGTAGAGGAAACTCCACGATGTCTATGTATCACAGGAGATGATTACATTGTCATCGGCATGGACCGGAAGATCATCATCTATTCAAGCGAGGGACATATTGCTAGAGCGATGGACAAATTTAGCCCATTGGCTCGCATGATGAAACGCCCTCATCACATGACGGCATGCGACCGCGCTGGAGAAGTGTCTGTTATCGTATACGACAATCAAATCACGCGCAAACTCCACGTGACTGTTGTTGACGAGAACTTGCATCTGAAGTATCACCATGAGGGAGACTGTATAACAGTCCGGAATGGAACCATCCGCGCTTCCGGTTACAATCCGTCCCGAAAATTCAGACCATATGATGCGTGCTACGACAAACAGAAAAACTTGCTAATAACGGACATGAACAACAAGAGCGTGGTGATCGTGCACGGGAAAAACAAGAAGATGGAGACGTTGACGACAGAAGACTTCGAGCCTCATGGTATCGCCCTGCAAGACAATGGTAACCTTTGGGTCGGTCTCGAGGGCAACAAGGTCAAGGTCTACAAATATAAATAGATCACACCAGACTTAAAATATCATGGGATGTATCGCTGTGGTTGTTTAGACCGTATCCTTGACAACGAATGACTTGATTATTACTTTAGCAGAACGTGCATGTTTGTGCATGAAAGTGTCATGATATTAAGGAATACCAGCGACATTGTGAAGTGCGATAAAAAAAATACAAAATAGTTATTGATTCAAAAAAAACTTGTTGGAATAAAGTGATGCGTTGATCCCTGTAGTTTGTTACGTAGGCTATACGTAACGATATTTCTAAACATCTCAAACAGACATGTCTGTTCATGAATCATTGGTATTGTGGATACTTTGCAGACACACTCTCCGCCTACCGTTCCTAATTAGTGCAAAGCGGCCATCTAGGAGTTTTTTGGTAGAAAATTTTAAGACTTTGGAAGTAGGCATTAATGCTATATAAAAACAATACTGATATTTTATGATCTACAATAGGTATGAAAACCTATATATAGTACTGTGTATTTCATTATACTTCTTTGGTCAGTACTGTAAGCCAAATGTTGAGATAAATATTGCGAAAAGTCGAGTTATTTTGTAAAATTAATTAGAGGTTTAGCCAAATCAGCATCGACTTGTTAAGATAGTTTTTCAGACGTTTCAAGTAAATCACGGATGTTGACCAAAGGATTACACCTGGCTTCTCCAGATAAGCATCTCGACAGGTGCGCATACAAAGTGTAAAGAGGGACATAATTTGGGTAAGATAAATACGTAAATCATTTTCTTTAATGAAGGAATGAACTCCTGTGAACAGATAGTCCATGTCACCTAAGTTTCTAGACAAGGATTTGTCCATGTTGTGACCGTCATTTGCAGCTTATCAGAAAAAAGAACATGCCCTCTCATAGAATACATTATATTATATCATAGCAGGAAGACATTGGTCATGAAAATAAAACATTTGTTTCTGTCTGTCTGTGTGTTCCTCTCTCTTCTCTGTCTGTCTGTCTGCCTGTCAGCGTGTTCCTCTCTCTTCGGTTTGTCTGTGTGTTTCTGTCTCTCTCTCTCTCTCTCTCTCTCTCTCTGTCTGTCTGTCTCTCTCTCTCTCTCTCTCTCTCTCTCTCTCTCTCTCTCTCTCTCTCTCTCTCTCTCTCTCTCTCTCTCTGTGTGTTTCTCTCTCTTCTCTGTCTGTGCGTGTGTGTTCTCTCTCTCTCTCTCTCTCTCTCTCTCTCTCTCTCTCTCTCTCTCTCTCTCTCTCTCTCTCTCTCTCTCTCTCTCTCTCAAATATAAATTTATATGATAAGTAATATAATGATTATTTACCCAATCCCAATTTATCTACTCGATAAAAATAAACAAAATAAAACCAACACATAAAAAACTATTTTTTGGAAACCATGACATGCTTTGTATTGTGTACTCGTTGTATTTAAACGAAATAAAATCTTACCTGTGCTTTTAAAGTCATCCAGGTGTGATGATTTAAAGGCCAATAAACCAAGATATGCCAGGTTCTGTTCTGTGTTTACACCCGGCTAATGCTATCATTTTAAACCAAGCCCATTGAGTGTTAGATGTTATTGTGTGTTGAAGGTCAAAGCAATTAATTAAGAGATTTTCTAAACGTTTGTGTTCAGCGTTTAACAGGTGCGTCGCTGGAAACTTTAACGCAGATCAAGTTTGAGAGCTTCCAATCGCTTTATTTGTAAAACAAATATCATTACCTACACAATAATTTATAATTATTTCATATATAATCTACATTATGTCGTCCTCGGTAACATCTAGTGGTATTTGATATTTGTTATGTGCTTCGAAATTCAACGAAATTCGACCTCCATGTATATCTGCGAAATTACATCAGTAGATTGTTTATGCTAAGCCAGTGTAAAAGAAGTAATTTTTATTACATTGTGTCTGCTAGGATCCGAACACAGCCTGATGGAGACTTTCTTAGGCTAGTTAATGAGTTAAGTTACTGAGCCATCAAGTCACGAAACTCTCCTGACAGCTGGTATTAACGAGTAGTCCCATTCGTTCTAATGAGTGTGCCTGCGCCTCGACCTTGGCCATTTTTGGCCAGTGGGAAGTGAATCCCATTTTTCGTATCGGAAATAATATTAATAGATGAAAAATGTATAAAAATATAATTACTCCGCATTGATATACAAATTAGAGTAATAACCACTACAGGCCGATATTTCCGTTGTAGAATTTGTACTGGAATAAATTGTTACAAAAGTCATCATTTTCATTTTGAAAATTTAGACGCTACCGTTTATTCTGGACGTAAGTAAACCTGGATTTCTTAAGATATATATTCTGTAACTGGAGCTACCATTGTCGGAATACACCTGTCACATATATTTGTGCTGTGCATGAAAACAGCTGTATTTCAGCACGCGCATTAATTCTATAGAATTACGTTCTAGATTTATTTAAATACTACGTTCAGAAAATATAAATAGTTTGTTGAAATAAGCGATTTTACATGTTGTAATGAGCAAGTTGTTTTATAAAAATTCATCAAATCGCTGTTATATCCGATGATGTTTTGAACTATATTTCCACGTGAAGCAATTATTTTGGCGTCCGTCATCAGGCAAAGTTCAGAGTAACGTCAATGTCAGGTAAACACAGGTTAAACATCAAAATTGTTTACGTTTCAATAGTCTGATTTTCGATCAATGTTGCAGGATGATATATAATACATGGTCAGTGTGTTAAAGTATAAGCTGTATTTTGGTGAGGGTGAAGAAAGAAGTGTCGAGCTTTGAGACACTGACCCTGTATACTCTATATATCTGTCTCCTCCTAAACAAACAAACAAACAAACAAAACAATCCTTGTTTTACAGTTTATGACTATGTAGTTCCTTGTCGTCAGAACGGCGCGAATTCAACTAAACAGTCAATTTGTAGATGAAGTCATGAGTGATTTATGAAATTTTTTTATAGCATTTTCATTTTAATTAATTTAACTTAAAATCTTACAATTTTATGATAAGATGCTACTTTAACAGAAAAAACCCTTTCACTCCACTATCCAGTTTGAAAAGGATGTATCTACGCAATTTTCTGTTTACATCCCCTACTTCCCAAACAAGATCCGATGTTCGAACTTCTAAGCTGTAAGCGAGAGACTTGAAAGTGTCTTCATGTAAAATGATTAATTTGTCGGTGAATAATCACTGAAATGCCTAAATGGACAACTTAATCCGCTCGATAACATGAAAATGTATCTCACCTACAGCTAGAGAGAGATTTAGAGAAAGAACTAGAGAGAGAGCTGGGAGATAGAGAAATATCTAGAGAGAGAGAACTAGAGAAAGAACTAGAGAGAGAGAGGAAGAGGGAGGGAGGGGGGAGGGAGGGAGAGAGAGAGACGTGTTATACTTAATGATCTACATCAGGTTAAATACTTAGATCTGCCCTATAATTAATTTTTATGGTCCTGTCATACTCATTGAATAAATGATAAACTAAAAGTTCATCGGAAAACAAAAAATATGTCATCACAACACAAAAACAGAGATGTAAATAACTTATTTAAGGAGCTTACCATTGGCTACACGTGACCAGATGTATAACGTTAGCATTAGTACAAAATAACATCAAACTATATGTAGTATGATATATCTAAAGAATTTCCGAACGTTTTATGAAACAAAAATAACAAAGACGATAAAGACATGTCCTAAGAAGATAAACTCCAATTCTATGAAATGACGACAAATTACAAAATGTAGAATTTTTCTAGATTGCAATACTTTTTGATATAATTTACATGTTATCTACAATAAATCTACAAAACATGATTTACAATCATCAAAGTCATTACCATGTATGATGATACACATACAACATTATACTTACAGACAAAATGCCTAAATGATCATCAGAAAATCTGTAAAAATAGGAAGATTTTGTCTGAACTTGTCTACTACACCCGATATTAAGTATTAGAGAAAAGTATCATACTGTCTCAAAACACTCTTCAGAATAACAAATATTGTCATGGCAACCAACGCTTTATCAACAATATTTAAAGTTATTCATAAAAATATCTATTATTCCAATTAATATTAAAACAATAATATGTTACAAAAAAAAAACCAAACGAGAACAATATCTTTATACAATATATAACTAGTACAATAATATGTTACGGTATTTAACGAGAACAATAATATGTTACGGTATTTAACGAGAACAATTATATGTTACGGTATTTAACGAGAACAATAATATGTTACAACATATAAAGCGAGAGCTGTATCATTGGTGAATGCTGTTGGTATTTGTATGATTATATAACAATGTATCTTGACAAATTGACATGGAATACTAGATTCCCTTGGGAACATCTGACGTAAAGTACTCATTTAATGCCCCTTGTCTACTTGTATTAAAATTATTTGTATCGTAAATATCCACAATATTCTACTGATAACGTTATGATATTAGTCCTTTAATAACAATATTTACATGATGACTGGTGATCTACATAACAAAGGGCTGTACATAGTTTTCAGCGTGAAGCGTTTCCGTACCCCCGATATCTTACAGTGCCATGGTTTCGTCATCAAGATAAATGGTGTCAAACAAGAGACTACATATACATTGTTAGTTAAGATATCCCGTAGTAGTCATATATGTTTATTAAACAGAAAAAACACGTGTCATGTCATCAACAAAGAGAAATACCACATGTGTCACATCATTGCAAGCGAGAGAATTACCACACGTGCTCAGATAATTCTGCTCGTGATAGCAATATCTATACTTAATTGTTGTCACGCTGAGTATACTGAGGAAGACATCCAGTAGTTTGCAATGATGGTTGGGAGAGAAGAGAAAGGATAAGATCCTAAATATAATCGTCTCTTAATCATGCTATTAAGAAAGAAGTTACAAATCATATATCCGACTTTCAGCTTACTGGTTAATTATATGGAACTTTTTTTAAAATGTTGGACATGTACTTATTTGAAAACTGGTTATATATCATTATGTATACATCAAGTAGAACTTTTC